ATCTGGCGGGAGAGCAAGTGAGACTTGAGCCTTGAGGGGGGGTAACGAGACCGAGGGCCATCATCATGGATCAGCCGTCGTCTGCGCTCCTCCCCGACCAATGGATCAGCGCTTCAGCCATCGTCTCAGCCCTTCATTATGTCTCTCTTTCCTTTCATATTCACTGCCACTCCTCCCTGCCCTCCTCGTCCGTTTTAGCGTGTGTGCCCGTGCGCACTTGTCCCTCTGAGGGTCGCCGCCCATGGCCTCCTTCACCACCGTCATCAGGGGTCAGTGTCCGCGCGATTGTTTCGATAATACCCCGCTGACCCTCCACCATCACAGTCGTAGCTACGGTGTGCGGCGTGCTCTCCATCTCGCTCACCGTGCTCCGCCTATACTACCGCTGGTACCGGAGGCATCTCGGCTATGACGACGCCTGGGCAGCATTTTCGCTCGTTTCTGTCTTCTTCATGATCGCAGGCGCCTGGCTTAGGTCCCAAGAGAATGTGACGAACGAGCAGCGCGTCATCGGCTACTTCATGCTCGACGTCTCCTTCACCTGTGTCCTCTGGTGAGTCACAGTAACAGTTGCGCTGCACAGCCAACGACAACCCCACTGACCTGCCCTGTACCATAGGTCCGCCCGCATGAGCATTCTTTTTTCGATCATGCGCATCATTCCCTACCTCATGACTCTGCGTCGGTGGGCCTACGGTTCCGCCATCCTTTTCGGGCTCATGTGGATAGTCATGCTCTCCGAGAAGATCGCAGTCTGCGAGATCAACGACGCGTGGAAGACCAACCCCGAAGCGCAGTGCGTCCTCGGCAAGCCCGTCGGGGGCGTCGAGCTCGCCAGTGAGTCCTGTTCTGCTGCCTTCTTCCGGTGTCGCTGACGACGTCGCTCGAACAGCTGACATCACCGCGGACATTATTCTCGTTGCACTGCCGATTTGGCTGCTCTGGGGCATCAACATATCTGCTTCGAGGAGGAAACTTCTCATGGCAATCTTTTCCGCAAGTATTATCACCACCGTCGTGAGCATCGTTCACACCTCGTACGAACTCGGACCAAATCGCAACGCTGAGGGCATTGCTGCTCATGTCGAGGTGCGTTCCCCCTTCACTCGCATGTGTGTCCGTTATACTCACGCTTTTCTTTTCACGGCAGGCGGACATGTCCCTGATCATCTGCAACCTTGCCGTTCTCATGACGTGGCTCGTGCGCACCATTTTCAAGGGCGAAGACCTTGAGTCTGGCGGTGGCCTCTCGGACGGATCGGGCGGGCGCAAGCGCACAGGGAATCTCACGCAACTCACGTCGCTGCGCTTCGGTGGTGGGGACCAGCCAATTGTGCTCACGACAACAGCAATGGATGCATCCTCGTCGGATCCGGACCACGAGCATAGGCATGGCCGCGAGCGCGGATACGACGGCGATGATAGCAAAGACCAGCTGAACATCAAGCATGACCGACTGTCAATCACCTCTCCCCCGCCTACGGATGTTACGGTCACGTTCGGCGCAGAGCAGATGGACGCGAAGATGCGCGAGGACATGCGCGATAATGATCAGTACAAAGGCTTTGCCTTCTGAGCCCCTGGTTGCCGCTCCTGTGATGCTGAGACGCGAACGATGCTGTTTCACCTCGGCCTTTAGCGCTTTAGCGTTCTGCTTCAGCCCCCGCGTCGGGCCGTCGCGCGGTGTCCCGCCTCTGCGTGCGCGTCGCGTTGGCGTTGTTTAACTTGATGTCTGGATCCTCAGCGATACGATACGATCTCTTTCCTCCCCTCTCTTTCCTCTGGCGGCGTGCCGCTGGTCCGCCACTCGAAGCAAAATGACAATATGGACCTTCTGTTCATTCGCTTGTCCGTCCGAGTCCATGCGCAGGCCTGGACTCATTCGTCTGGGCGCTCAGCATCCACGAGATACCACCCACAGGAGGCGAACGTGCGCCGCTGCGCCCACTGTACATAGTGTATTTTGTTCTTTCTCAGGCCTTGAGGACGTAGCAGATCATTTGCAGTTCTCTACGGCGCTTCGTTTGCAATGTCATAGAAATGCGCAGCTATACCAATCTGTAGTGGTTTGTGTTCTGTAGAAATCTCATTGGGTCTTTGGAGATTTGCAATCAATTTTGTCTGCTTCTGTTTGTATCGACGTTCGTGTCACTGTAAACGCAATGTGCAGATCACACACAGGGTTTTTTCACACACTGTCTTGAGCTGAGCATGACACGGATCAAGAAATGCTCATACGATTAAATGACGAACATGTCATGACTGCACGCCGCGTCCGTCGGGTGGTCTCCTTCGGATTATGAATCAGGCAACTCAGCGTCCGCTGGGAGATTTCAAATCGCAGCTTCAGTGGTGCCGGCCAACGGCGCGTTGCCAGTGTGCGCGGCGAGACTTGTGATCGGAGGGAGGCGTGCGGCAGTGTCAACTTGTGTCAGAGTCAGAACAATCAACAAGGCGGCCTCAGGCTCAACCGCGAACACAACGGGCGGCCCCCCCCCCCCCCCCCCCCCTTTT